AAATGTTGTTCAAATTATATCGTGTTTGATATCATTTTCATCAGAAAAATCTCACCAATTTCAGATGGAAAAAAGTAAAATTAAAGAAATGATATTTTTCTATTATGAATTGTCGAACCGTGAAATCTGGTAAAAGAAACCGATTGGTGTAGCGTTACACGCTTGACTGACAGCGAGCGAGATAACATAGGCGCAGCAATGACGCAGACCTAGGCGTAGGACCATCTATACTGACACTTGTAGAATCCAAACTGACTGACACTTGTAGAGAATTTACTGTATTTGGAATTTGAAGATCTCTGATAAAACGTTATTTATGTATATTGCTTGTTATTAAAAAAAGAGTTAAAACAGCTTTATATTGAATTGTGACATTGTTCTCGTTAAGTAGCATTAGTGGCGATTTTTCACATAAAAATAGCTCACTTTTAGTGTTTTCCTGCAGATATCTGAAAATTAATGATATTTTCGATGTGTTCTTGTTCTAGCAAACCGACTAACAAAACAACGTAAATATTACTAATTTTGCCAATTTCTCTATTAAAATTATACAACGGAAAAGAAATTCTAACGAGGTGTACGAAGCCTTTTTCTCACAGACAACGAGTGTATATTTTAAAGGCAAGTTCCTTAAATCCGTCCATCTAACTTTTCTTACAACAGTTTCACAGCTAATGACTATCTTTCATCGGCGAAACGAGCTCGTAATAACTGCATATCTGTAATCAGAATTTCTTTCAACACGATTTATCCGCCGAGTTGTGCTGTCTTTAAGAGCTTTTAACGTGCAATTGACTTCACGACGATCATCATTAATCCCGCTGCTCTGTAAACCCGTTCCTCCGACTAAACACTTTCGCTACGATACAAGTCGTTCCCGTCACGCGAAACAATTTTTCACATTTCACGCGTCACCAGGCATGCGATGAAATTTTAAAATTCAAAACTCGGCCAACAGTGTGTAGCTCGAAACACGAAGGAGAAAAGAAAGATTCGTACGTTTTATTATTACGCTGCCTGGTATATATCGTGGCCGGTAAAGCGTTCGAAAAGTCCTGGCTAAAACACGATCGAGTATCGATTCGTGTCATCGTAAGTCACGACTTGAACACTATGCATGAAATTTAGAGAACGGAACTGCTGAAATACCGTGTGAATAGAATAAATATTGAAAAAAAAAAAAAAATAGAAATGTGGAATTCTTATTTTGAAGCTTTTGATGCACGATTTTTCTTCTTTTTTTTTTTTACTGTTAAGATAAGTACACTCTTTATGTGACGATTTCGCAGAGCAAACTTGTTAATCCTCTGATATCAGGCAAAAAGAAATTACACTGCGAGGAATGAAAGTGGTGTTCAAATATTTGCTTAATGTACAGTATGATGTTTATAGAAGGGAAATGAAAAATCGTGTCTCGATTGTTTCTGTTAAGAATGAAATTTTTAATATAAGGAAAAATGATTTTTAACGTAAGTTTCTTTGAAAGTTTGTATAATTAGATACTTGTGAAGTGGGGGTTACGTCACTTCTGTTTGTTATGAGTAATATGGTGTTGAACTGCCATAATATTTTGTGTGCCGAGCAATAACAGGAGACGAGTATAAAGTGGTGCCTTTTTTTGCATGAAAAATTGTTTTATCAAATTTGCAAAAATTTTATCCGCAATTCTTCCATTGTTTATACTTAAAATACACTTTTTAGGTAGGTTTAGAAGCAGTCAAAGTAAAATTTATACGAAGATATGTTAAACTTTCAGTCTTACCCAAGACGTGGAACCAAAATTTAAATTTAAATAAAAAACAACGAACTAAAATAGAGGAAATTCCAAATCGAAAGATTTAAGGGTATTATGAATTTTCATGGACGCCAGGAAAGCTAATAAAACCAAAATCAAAATTTGAATAAAGATCTAACACTGGGAAAATTCTAAATTAAAAGATTCTAGGATATTTTCAATTCTCATAGACGCTAAGGAAGCAAAGAAAACCGAGACCAAAATTTAAATAACGATGAAAAAATGAAGAAGATCCTGAATGAAAAGATTCAAGTATATTTCGAATTTTCAACGAATTCGTTTCTATCCCCAAATTTTCTATTCACGCGTGAAAGCATTCTTCCTGCAGCCAGGCCTCCTCATAGAAGAGAAGCCTAAGAGCCGGCGATTAAATGCACCAGAGGATAGTAATCAAGCAGCGGTCAATTCCGAACTATTTTCAATAGTGACTAAGCTGGCTCGCGTGCCTGTACACACTGCATGTACATATGTACGTGGCGTAATAAAATTACAGTGAACACGGTTACGGCGCCGTAGGCGGACTGGTCACTAACAGACGACTGCCCTATTTCGGATTTAACACCTTTCCGTTGTTAGTCGACGACCAATCCCCCATCGAACTCTCTTATCGCATCCACGATTTTTCTCTGCCTTATCGATCACGGTTTCGATGCACTCCGCTCGAAAATAAGCTTTTCTCAGGGGATAGAGAGGAAGAGGACATTTTCAACTCTGGTGAAAATGTTAACCGTATTGCTGCAATGTGTCGTGACGTTATCAAGTGGAACTTTTTTCGGTGCAATTTGTCAAAATTCGATTGCTTCCAGTGGGATCAAAGTCGTGTTGGAACTCGTTGAAATTGTACCACAGCGTGCTGAATAGTGAGCTTCTGATATGTGTGTTGTATCTGAACCGATAAGGAATTCCTTCGAGCGATTCGTTCAAGCTGTACGACGTCGAATTGGAGAGAACAATTTCTTGATATGGATGGTTGAAATTGTGTTGTACGGGACAGGTATGAAGAGATTCTTTTAGCAATTTTGTTGGGACATGCTCGAAACGGAGTTCTTGAGACAATTTATTAACGTTGTTCTATAGAATACGAGAATTGTCTGCTGAAACGATTTGTCACAATTGTATCGTATAGAGTGGAATAGAATTTCCTTTGAAACAAATGATTGTATTCGATCAGATTGTGAAGCAATTATTTAGAGAAATTGATGGAACTGTTTCATTGACTCTGTTGCTACTGTACGAAGTGAAAGAACGCGGTATGATTGATATTAGATTGGTCGATTGAACTGTTAATCGTTTCGTATTCGACTTCTTGACCTGCGCTGATCTTCGTAACGAAGAAAGCTCTACTTAAAATGTAACTTACACCGCAGTTGACACTGGCCTAAATAGTCCGGATCGCTTTCAGTTGTATCATCCGAATTACATTAACTTCGTCGCAAATTAACGAATGTATCCCTTCAATAAACTCTGACCTAACTAATCAGATCACCAATTAACCATGTATATGCATACAATACTGAGTTAAACTACTGATAAATTCTCATTTCTATACAGGGTGGACCACCTAATTATCTTCTCTAGCTATGGTGGTACGAGAAAATTTTTGTACACAATTTAAACGGATTCAAAGGGTGAATGAACTGGGAGAAAATTTTTTTTTATGGAAAAAATGAAAGGAAGTTTCACATTTGATTTAAAATTTCAGAGTTCGAGGTCCTTTTAAGGTCACACTATTATGCACATCGATGTCTATTGCAACACACGGTAGAAAAAAATATACACTTTCATGTAAAAAGAAACAATTCTTATTTACACTCTGATACCATTTAAATGACGTATACAAATTTTCTCGTACCACCCTGTATTATCGTTGTTTACCAAAACTTATTCAAACAAATTTCTTATCTACCAAGTTCGACGAATCTGTCGAGCTTAATCTAACCAAGTATAGAAAAATTTATAGTACTATCTAATTAACGAGACTAACAGTGCATCAATATTGTAGGAAAGTGTTTAAGAAGAGATCGATATGCGTCAAGTGCGCCGATGAATGAATTATCTATTTATTTACGTTATACAGGTAAATTATGTTAACCCTTTCGTGACCAGTAGAACGTGTATGTCCTACCCGAGTGTTCAATTAAAATTCGATTTCAATTTAACATCGATTGTAGACGCGATTCGGTCGCGAGAGGGTTAAAGACGTCAGAGTGACAAGCATTTTAATTGAGATTTTGATTTAATATCTACGTAGTTTTTCCCATTATTTCGCTAAATTTCACTAAATTTCAGAATGCTTCAGATCGAGTAAGTGTCCTAACACTTAAGAGGTCCTCGTTAATCCTGCGGTCGCAACTTCCTCGAGTCTGTTTGAAAATTCCCTCGCTTTTTAAGTACTCCGGGAAGAAGAAGTAAGTCTGTTCGGCAAATCGGTAAAGACGTTCAAAGTCCTACGTGTTGCGAGCGTCTCCGCGGAGGAACGCAGAAATAACGACGCTCCCAATGATCTAATCGCGCGGACGATCGACATGGTCGCGCGAGTTGCGCGCGTTACGCCAACCAGAGGTCTGTCGACCTTCGACGAAGCTTTTTCGCCCTCACAACTCCATCTACTCTCGAGCGTGCACACAATAGAAGGAACAGACGAAGAGAGACAGATGGCCGAATTGCTCGTGTCGTGAAACGCGATTCCCTCGATTTAGCTAACTTCTTAACCGATCTGTACAATGTTCGATGCACGTGCATCGCGTGCCTACTCGAAACGGCGTGAACGTAATCGATCAATAATTCGATATGATCACATCGATCCTCTCTGTTCGTTTGTTCGCGATTGAATGGTAGAATATGTTAGATTGAACCCTTTCGCTGCGGTAGATTTCAGTGTGTAACACGCGTGGCAAATGGTAGATGTTCAATCGCGGCCAAAAATCCTCTGTTTCGGCGTTTTAAAATTTTTGTAAAATTTAAAAACTTAAACTGACGTTAAATTTGAGGATTTTAATTTATTTTGAAAAAATTTATGAATTTCTGATTTTATTGAACGAAGGTGGGATTGCGCACAAGATAAAAATTAAGGAATAAATTCACAACGCCTGTAGGCGCCAAAGGTAGTACAATTCGAAGGAAAATTTTCAAAGCGTCCATAAGTGCCAACAGCAACGAAAGCGTTGAAGGGATTATTAATGTAACGATAACGTTTTGTACGTACCCCACTGACAATCCCGGCCAGGAAGACTGCGGATGCGACGAATCTAAAAAGTGGATTTTGCGGTTATTAGACAAAATTGCAAATTGTAGAATTTTGTAAACATACGAAGATTCAGTGGGAATTGAAATGAAATTTTGCAGGTTTTATATAATAGGAAAAATCTGTTACTTTTAAATTGGAAACCGTTGAAGTTTGTGGAAAATTTGACACGTTGGGCTGAGCCTGACAATTTGGAGAAGTCACCTCTCGAATAGGACACGAACTTTGTGTATTTTACAACGGACACTTTTGAAGAAGAAAAACAGTGACGATAGAAATGGTTGACTGATAAAAAATGAAGAAGTATGGTCGATTAACTCACTATAAAAGATGAACATTTGTAAAAAGGAATTTTGAAACCACTCTGATCGTTCCGGGATTCGGAATAAAGAATCTTACAAGTGGACAACAAAATAGAACAATTAAAACTGAAAGTTGTCACGCCGGAACGTTCAAGAACTTCTCGATCTTCCCGTGACAGCGACGACACCGTTCAATCTGGAACACGGAATTTCGTCGAAATTTCACCATTTTCCACATCCGGTATTGCAAAAACTCGTCTACGAACGGTGAACACAAAGAAAGGGGATCTAACACGCGCATAACTTTTGCGAGGTTGAAAAGGCACGAAAGCGGGCGACGCGGCAAATGTTCCCCGTCAAAAGGATAATTGACCGTAAACACACGCGGGTTTCGTCCTTGAAATCCACTCGGCGATCCGTCGGCATAGAACGGGGGGATGAAAGTGCCCCCTCCGTCCGTCATTGAAATACTTGTGGCGCGTGCACCGAGGGAGAAGAAGCGGAGGAAAGTCCCGTAAAAATAAAGGACCAAGAAGAGAAAAAAGGGAGCTGGTACGAAAGGTCTGGTGCAAAAACTTGAGAAGGGTTAGAGCGTGGAAGGAGGAGAGAAGAGGAGCGTTATTCTCAGAGTTTGCCGAGGAAAGATATAGCTCTGCGGATGCTTCCGTGTCACGCCGGTACGAAAGCACAGCACGAGTAACACGTTCACCGAACGCACGTGTTCGCGCAATATAGAGATCATTGACGTAACAGGTTGACGAACCAGTAACGTTACCAAGAAGGGAAACGAAAAGAATAGGAGAAAAAAGGAGGCGGTGGAAAAGGAAAACGAAGACGAAGAAGAAGATGAAGAAGAGGTCGATGACGATGAAGAAGATGTAAGATTAAAGGAAAGAAGAGAAAAGCAAGATGAATCGCAACTCACCGCAATCCCAACCAGGTCATTTCGACCTCCCTATTCCGCGACGGGCCTAGGGAGCCGAGGAGCACAGGCTAACACGAGCACCGCACGGACAGCCAGTCACAAAATATCGCGGGGAACCCGGCACCGAGTAGACGTGGTGTGTGGACCGTCCCATCCAGGGAGGGCTCTGAATGAACTCGGGTGGAGGGAAGGAAGGTGGAGGCGGCCACCGAGCCACGCCAGCTAGAATTCCTCCGCCGAAAGGATCGGGAGAGAGGCTTCTCTTGGTTCCGCGAGAGCTCGTGTGCTCTCACAGTGTTCGCGTTTTACCTCCCCCGCTCTCTCTCTCTCTCTCTCGATCTTTCTCTCTCCCTTTGCTCACCACTGTCGTGGCCAGAGAATTGAACTCTCCAGCTTGCCTCCGCCAACTGCGGGACCAGAAGATACTAGGCAGCAAGACGCAAGAAGGAAGGACAGAGGGAGAAGCCGAAAGAGTAAAAGAAGGGAGGAAGGAAAGAAGAGTACAGCTGGAGAGGGAAGTAAGCAGAGAGGACTGATAGAAGGAGTATATAGGGAAGCGAAAGAAGAGGAAGAAGTAGGAGGGAAGAGGAGCAACAGGAGAAGAAGGAGGAGGAGGAGGAGGTGGAGGAAGAGGAGGAGGAGGAGAGGATTGCTGACCGGGTCGAGGCGAGCTTGGTCGCGCGTTGCACGAGGACTGTTGCACGGTCTCAGCCGATGTCGATCCCGGCGTAGGTCTCTCTGGCTTGAGCGAACTGAAACGAGAACCGGCGAGTAGAGCGAGAGGGGAGCATCTACCCGCCAGCGTGGCGCGCTCGGCCGCGCAAGGATACAGCTTTACGAAGAGGAGAAGAGAGAAGAGCGCCTCCTCCACCGCCGACTTAGGCCTGTCTGGCTGCGTGAAGCGGCGACCGATCGGGAGGACGGGCCAACCGGGCCGTCTGTCTGGCCCTTCGACACGCGCTGCGTCGACAGGCTGGCCGACCAGCCACCGCATTTTCCAACAACGACATCTCTTAACTACACACCAGAGAACTCGGAATCCGAGCAAGTGTGTAACCATTCGAACAACTCCTCGTTCAACTAGACCGATCGGCGTGTCGGCTATTTTAAGGGCTGCCCACCGTCACCGCAACACTCGCAGAGCACAGGTAAACAGAGAAAGACGAAGGAAGGAAGAAGGAAGAAGGAGGAGGAGAAGGAGGAGAAGCATTGAGCACAATGCGGCCTAGGGCTGCGGCAACCTTAACCAGCGCAGCCCGCGGGTTACGTCCGTTCCCGGTTGTCCTGCGAGTCGCCTGCGTCCTTGCCCTACTGGTCGTCACGTGGATACCGGTCACCGAGGCTGTGGTGAGTGAGTCCTTGAAATATCCCAGTCGCGTACCGTTCGCCCGTAGATAAAGGGCGGCCTTTGCGCGAGTATTTCGTCGGATTTGCGGTTTTCCGATTCGAATCGTGGCACTCGTCGCGGTACAGTGTTTCCATTCACCGTCTCGCTGATTCGGACGGTGTTACCTCTCCATACTGCCGTCATCGTTTAACGTCATCGTGTCGCGTTCGTTGCTCTAATTTAGAAAGAGAGAGAGAGAAGACCGGAATTAACGTCGATCTCGCTAAAGTGACATTTAACAAGTGGTGTTACTAGACGCATATTACGCATGCCGTATTTATACCCGATTCAACGTACGTTCGGAACGATTCCTCCGACAGGCATCGATGAATTAACTTACGCGGTGATCGCAATATCGATCGATCGAGTAACCGGCTCATTTAGTTGGACGATTGCGTAAGGAGAGAAAGAAAGGGGGAGGGAGAAGAAGAACGAGAGAAAGAGAGAGAGAGAGAGAAGGGAGAGAAAAGTATTCCGTGGAGTTATCGCGAATTTTCACTGCGCGAACGAGCCTGATTAAAGTTGGCACGCGAGAAATTCTCCGAAGCAAGTTTCCCCGGCACCATTTCCGGTAGATGGCCGTTATCGCGTAACTTCTGAATACGAAATCCACGAGCTTTCTTTCTTCGCGGTGCGAGACCTAGAAAGCCGATGATTGAACTCTACGTCGCATACGTGGGTACGTTTTATGAACGTAGGTGAAGACAATTTAACGTAAGACGACGTAATGTCGCGCGAGCATCTGGATCGGCTCACGTCGCGTCGTTCTATCGCTTTTTCGAACGCAAACGCGAACCTCCACGATTCCGTAACTCGCACACGTGGGAATGCCGGTTGCGTGTTGATCTACGACCGATCTCTCGATCATATGGCGAATAATTCTGCTCTGGATATAATACGATACACCGTGTTTTAAAATTAAGCAATTTTAATTCTATTTTGTATAAATATAGTTAAGTTTTTGTTAATTTTTCTCAGATGTCAGGAAACAATTTTTTCTTTTTATTTCACCTATTTAAAGTTTTTGTAAAAAGTAACACAATTTTAAATAGAATTAAACATTCTCGTGGTAATTAATTATTTTTCAAAATAGAATGTGAATACCACCAAAATGTAATATTAATTATTTTTTTATTTAACAGAGGATCGATTGAACATTTATCGTGTTTATTCGAACCAGTTACAGGCTTATTCAGTCGGAGATAAAAAGATCGAAAGAAAATCTGAGAATACATCGGTGAATACAAATAGTGCCGGAAACTCCTTTGAACAATATTTGGTTCAAATGGTATATACGTGTTCATACTTTGCGTAGGCGTGTTCAAATAAGCTAGAAAACGTTTAAATTTCATTGAGTAAGCTCGACTATTCAGCTAATCCTTAAGCAGGCTGGAAATATAGGTCGTATCATCTTTGCGTGTGCGGATCGTTTCGAATTGTTTGCAGAGAACTTACTTTAGAACACTTCCACGAAATCATTTTTTTTAACCCGAGAACATCATTTAAGCTCTGGTCTAGGTGACTTAGAGAAGCTCATTTTTAATGAATCACACATCTCTCGTGTGTTTACATAATGTTACCTATTAAGAAACGTCATAATATTTACCATTTTCTTGACAGACTCCAACCCTTTCCTATATAAAACTAGTCTAACATTTGAATCTGTTACTTTCATTAATCTTTGGCTGTAGCACTGAAATTAGAATATTCAATTAATTTAGTTTCTTTATTACTAAAAAGGACAGAAATACTTGCTTTCGAAAGAACAGTTGATCGAAAATTAAAATTATGCATACATATGTCGATAGAATGTTGTTTATAAATTTCCAACATTTATATACAGAAAAATGACAAAATGACAATTTTCTTTACACGAAATTAAAAAAACGAAGCAACCGATCTTATTACTCTAGAAAGTCTCAGATTATTGGAGACTGTCGAGCATCCTACTTGTTTCATTTCCTGACAAAAAAAAATTCGTATAGGACCCAACGTAATTTCAGAGAAAAAATAGATATTACGGTGTTTGGAATACACGAGGATCTGTATACACACAGCGGCCGCAAGAACCGCCTCTCCTCTACACCTCCGACTCGTTCGTGATGTCACGAACCGTTAAAACCGTTTATCTTGAGAACTGAGGTTACGAATAATGTACATAGAGGTATTTTCACAATTATACGGAAATTTACACGACGTAATCCTGTTGCGCAACCAATTCCCGTTTCGTTGTCATATAAATATTCGGTAATCGTTGATTGCTCTTCTCATTTTCACGTATCTTCTGTGACGAGAAGATCTACTGGCTACTCTCCAGATTGGAACAGTGTAAATGCACCTTGTGACATTGAACGTAACTGCTTGCAAAAGAGGGAACACATACGAAAGACTTTTTTTTTTTATACGAAAGACTTTTTTTTTTTTCATTTTCTCTACACAATTTTGTATTTTTAATTGAAAATTGTGCGAAACAAGTAGACAGGGGGAATTTACAAACAAAGCAAATGACAAGTTACGTGATGGTTGTGTTCTAGAACCGCCTCTCCTCTACACCTCCGACTCGTTCGTGATGTCACGAACCGTTAAAACCGTTTATCTTGAGAACTGAGGTTACGAATAATGTACATAGAGGTATTTTCACAATTATACGGAAATTTACACGACGTAATCCTGTTGCGCAACCAATTCCCGTTTCGTTGTCATATAAATATTCGGTAATCGTTGATTGCTCTTCTCATTTTCACGTATCTTCTGTGACGAGAAGATCTACTGGCTACTCTCCAGATTGGAACAGTGTAAATGCACCTTGTGACATTGAACGTAACTGCTTGCAAAAGAGGGAACACATACGAAAGACTTTTTTTTTTTCATTTTCTCTACACAATTTTGTATTTTTAATTGAAAATTGTGCGAAACAAGTAGACAGGGGAATTTATAAACAAAGCAAATGACAAGTTACGTGATGGTTGTGTTCTTTTTTTTTTCGAATTAATTTTTCAGGAGGTTTAAAGTTAATTCATGTTTCGAACGCACCTCTGGCCAAGTGTTAATTGCAAAAATTGATAGTATCGGGTTAAAAATACGTTAGGCATATTTTGACAAGTGTTATGGGCTGTAGCAACTGAATGTTCAAAGGTAATTGCACTCTTTTTATATTTAGACATCGCGTCAGGGCACAGCCCTCTTGCATACAGCACCGTATACAACACGTGTGTTAATACAGCTATTAAAAGCACAAGTACCACTGACGTCAGAAGCGGTGCTGGTGGCTAAACATTACAAACAATCAAATTTTAAGATACAACATCCTTCTTATGCTAAAACCACGAATGTACAAATTTTCACTTTTTGATTAAGCTTGTGCGTAGGCAATCGAGTACCCTTTTCTATACTTTCCTTCAACAATTTTCTATGTTCTGCTGAAAGTGTCGTAAAATCGCTCGAGATCCCCACTTTTCTACACTTCAACGTCGATATAGGTTTCCAAAATAAAAATTTACGCGAACAATTTGAAATATTAAAGCTTGAAGCAGTCGTGCACATTTTGGTTGCCTAAACAAGGGTTGAAGTGTGCCGAATGCGACTAAAATATAAAATATCAAAATTGAAGGAGAAAATAAGAAAATTTCGAAAATTTTCATCTCCACGATTATCTGATTACACTTTACATTCAATTGTGAATTCCCATTACCTATCGAATCGTGCATTCGTGGTACTGAGCATAAGGCGAATAACAAGATCTTTTCTTCTGGAGTATGTCAGTAATGGAGAACGTTATTTAAAATTAATTGAAATATTCTCTTTCTTATCAGGTCCATGCAAAAGTTCCCATCGTATACTTTCCCAGAATGTGTGTTTACTTTTCATCATATTTGTTATTAGTTGTCATAAGTAATTAATATTAATACCACATTCGGTAGAAATAGCAACTGTGAAAATTGAAACAAGAAAAGAAACATACGTTGCTTTTAGTCTCGTCGATTTCATAAACCTAATAGTAGGACTTATAGCTTCGATTTAACGGAACTACTTGCTCCTCGGTACATTCGCAATTACAGATTTATCACTACGGTGTTTGATTTGTGCAGTTGCACTTGTGCCACTCTGAAGCCCCTTAATTATCTCATATTTAGTCTCTATAATTAGCACTGCCTGTTTCCGCACTGACAATCCTGTAGCATTATATGGAGAGTTATATTGTTAGGCTCGTTCGAAAGTGTACGTACTGTGCGCTGAGGAAATGAATATAGATCAGCGTGTGTATTTCAGGAGACGATAGAATCACGGTGATATAGAAGAGAAAATACTTAGAAAATAGATTACACGCGATGTTGTGCCGTATCTTATTATGCCACAATTAACCCTTTGACTCCTGTCGGTGCCTTTAGGCCACTGACGAAAATGTTCGGCGTTTATTATCTGGATATTATCGGAACCTTCAGGCGTTTATTATTCATTTGACGAATATGAAATACGAAATATCGAGCAAAAGCGTGAATTGGCTAAAGTCAGAATAGAATGTAATTCAACTCGTGTATATGTTGTGCTATATTAATATCATTGTCAACCATTGTCAAGTGTTTGATTTTTGAGAGACTAACAGTCAATGGATTAGATCATTTTTATATACACTACCAGCCAAAAGTTTGGAATCACCGGGCATTGCAATTTGCAGAAAAATTTCCAGAAATAAGTCAGCGACTTTGAGAATTTTATAAACTTCGAATCTATAAAAAATTAGCAGCAGATTTAATATTGATGAAAAGTGGAAGGTAATTCCAAACTTTTGGCCGGTAGTGTAGGTATCTATAAGGAGAAAATTATTATGGAAGTTATTATTTGTGGGGATTTACGACTACAAATATACGTTATTAAATACAAATATTGATAATTTAAATGAACCAGTGATCCTAAGAAAAGAATAATATTGACTCGATCAAGTTTCAATTCTAGAAAAGAA